CACACACGCCGCCCCCCCCCCGCCGCCATCTCCCGGGGCAGGGGCCATGGCGGCGGGGCCAGGGCAGGCCGGAGGGGCCCCGGCCCGGTGTTGGCACAGCACGGAGGGAGCGGGGGCAGAGCCAGGCCCACCCCGAGCAACGAAGGAGACAGGTCTGTGAACAAGGCAAGTCCTTCTCTCCGTTCCACCCCCCCACCATGCTCCCTTCTTCAAAGTGGCATCTCACACAGGGGTTAGGTTTGTGCATGATAACAGCAGTGGCCAATAACAGAATTTTTTAAAAAAGACCCCACATTCAATATGAGATCATGCTCAGAAGAGAAAGATTATCTTCTTAAGGTCACTTTTTCAACCTCTTCTTCCCCTCCCTTCCACCCACACAGTGAAATTACCAAGTTTCCAGTAGGCTTAGCTGTAAAAATGAGAAAAGGCAAGTTTCACCCTGATTTGGGAGAGTAAAAAAACATCTGAGAGGAAGCCCCAATAAAAAGAATTGACTACCATCACAGCTTCCCCAAATTAAAAAGTTTTAAAAAGGCAACAGTCATTTCCTGGTTCTGTAATTTGTTAATTGAGCCTAGATATCTCAAGACAAGATCTGTTAACATCACAGCAAGTGTGAGAGAATGGGGAGGGAATGTTTTATACATTTAAGTTCTGGGTTTTGTTTGGGTTTTTTCTTTGTTGGGGTGGGGGTTGTTTTTTTTTTGTTGTTTTTTGTTTTTTTACAAAAAGATGCAGCATATGTTAATATCTATACAATTCCCTTCCAGGACAACAAACCGTTGGTCAGTAGTGATTCAGGACATTAAGGACACGACAGAGACGCAAGCAAAACCAAAAAAATGACGAGCCGCATGTCAGTTGTCTGCCAGGTCAGCGTCTGCGCAGGGTTCTCTGTACACAGCTAATATACACACGTGCTTCCTAGCACATCCACCCGCCATTCCTCAGCTTTCCAACACTAGAGCTGCCTTTTTTTTTTTTTCCCCCCTCCCTCCTCTAGGTAAAGGAGGAGGAAACGAAGGAGTTGCATCCCCAAAAGGAGTACGTACAGCTGAGAACTGGGCCTGTCCGGGCTGAGAAAGGGAGCTGGGGAACGAACCGTTCGTTCACATGCGCACGGTCTCCTGGCAGGGATGCTGGCGCCGGAGCAGAGGCGTATTGCTGAGTCGCGCGAGGTATAGTGTTCGGTTCCAGCCTGATGGCACTCGAGACGTGTTTGTTCCAGTGAAATGCTACATTCAGACAGGATTCCCCTTCCCTGGC